GTTATTTAAGTTTAGGTCAATTGGTTTTTAGGTCAATTTGCCAGTTCCCATCTAATATGCTCATGTTACAAACTATCCGGTACGTTTCCATATACGAACGGCCTTGTTCACTGGTCTCACCTCACCGCCGGAAATCAAAAACTTGAGCGTTTCGTAATTCATTGAATCGTTATAATTATGGGCCGACATAATAGGGAGTGTCCAACCGCTAGCTGGAAAAATGACGTCAATGGTGGGAACGGTAGAAAATGGGTAAGTTTCCGCGTAAGCACGTTCAATACGGGGAGCGCTATAACCTTGCTCCGATCCAAACCCAACGGAATCGCCACCCTCAGCCCTAAAAAATAGGCCGCCATACGACGGTGATACATTCTCCCATTGTAAGCCTGGCCATATTTCACCTGGCGATTTTTGATCAGGTAATTGAACGTATATGAAACCGATCGGTACTATAAATAAATTTGCGCATGCCACAATTATTACAATTATTAAGCACCAACAAAAAATTAATATAGTGCTCATTTTGAATTATTTTGAATTAAATTATCAAATATTACCTGGATTGTCTATAAATTGTCCAAGAGTATTATTAAGTTTAGCAACTGTAACTTCAAGTTTACTTATCATTTGTTGCATTTGGTTAAATGACCAAGCCTTCGGATCGGTATCATTATTTATATTTGAGCCAATTTCACCGACTCCTTTTAATTCAATGCGATCTTGTGTGTTCTTGTTAATTGTTTTCAATTTAAACATATTATTATATAATACTTAAAACAAATAAACATTTTATTCATTAAAAATTAAGCATAATGGTCTATTAATATTTAGCCCGTTATTTAATGATATATAAAAATTAGGAACATAATAATATTAACAAATTAACTTACATATTCATTAGCATTAGTTTCAAGTAAAGTATCTTGTGCTATTTTGTTAGCAATAGAATTTTCAATTTTTTCACTATAACAAATAGTGATAACAAATGTTAAACTAATATATTGCTTAATAAACATTGTAAAAATTTTATTGTCTAACAAATTTAATAAATATTACTTATAAAAATGAAACATATTTATACAAATTTTTAATGTCAAATGTGACAAATGTGTATGATGAATTTCATATTCTCAACCATCTTATCTACAATTAATCAAATATTTATATAAGTGTTTACCATACTTAAATAACTTGATTATTCTATGGTTAATATACAAAATAAAACGAGTAATACTGTACTATTAAATTAAGGTAAAATAAAAACTCTTTTATAATTAATAAATAATATTTAATTTATTATATTAATAAAGCTAAAGATTATTATATATAAAAATATTGTGTACGTATTTTACTTTAATCAGATAATTATATTCATACTTACACATATTTTATTAAATAATTTGTTGAAATAAATATTACATTTATTAGATATTGCTGATTCGTGTGTATTATATTTGAGTGAAATATCATTATTAAATAAGTATGTTGATATTTTGGTGGACTTTTTAAGTGCCACTTGATATACAATTATGGTCAAATCTATCCCGGGTCGGGAAAAGTTGAATATCTTTTGAATGGATAATCCAATCTTTAATCCGTTTTAACTAAATTGTAGCTGGATAATGTCAAAATCTGGCGATATACTATTTACTATATCAATTTATCAGGATAAATTAGTAATTTAATTTCAAAGTTTCACCAATATTTCTTATTGAAATTACATGGGGTTT